AGTAATCTATGCACACTCTTTGTCACCAAGGTCAGGTCAACAAGTGACGCATATGTCAACTAATGTAGAAAGAAATACTGCGAATGCTGAAAATCTTGAGATGAAAGTAGATAAAGCTGAAAATTATCAGCATCTGAAAGAGAAAAATAGAGTAAGCTTTGAACTTTCCTCTCATCTTTCCGAGCTCCGAATATTTCATCCTACACATTTTGCCTCCTCCGTATCTCCTAACTATGTTGTAATTGAAATGTATTCCATTGCCTCATACTTTCCCAGCGCCCTCAAGACTCTAGAGCTACTTTTCTCCCTCCCTCAGTCTGGCCTTCCTCCTCCAGGCTTTCAAAACCCACATTTGGCACCATCAAGCCACTTCTATTTTTCCTTCCTTTGTTTCAACTATGAGAGTTTACTGCATTTATGGTGCTTAAGGCTTTTGTAAAGGTTCTCGGTGTTGAAAAAGCCCTAACAGACCTCTTCTGATGCCTGATGCCTTAATGGAATTTAAGAAAACTAACTACTTTTATAGTACTTTTACATTCTGAAATGCCTTAAAGCACTTCGGGTCGTTACTGTTGAGTGTAATAATAATAATAATCCTTGATTTGATATAACATCTTATCATGTCTTTGAGCCGTCTCAAAGCACTTCACAGATTATACTGTAAAAGTGAATTGACTGTATATTTTGTGAGCAAAAATATTGATATTGTGGCTTTGTACCTGATTTTGTATAGCATACAATTCTTATCGTATAGAGTTAGACCATCACTTTGTTCTGTAACACATGTGAAGTCCCTCTAAAGCCACATCCTAGGCGATGCTAAAGTAGCTGTCTATTGCTGTTTTTTGCCAGACTGAACGTGCTATTATTAAGCGTTACTGTCTAGACCTCACAAGCTTTAATCGAAGGGCGTTTTGATAGATCAGTCCTGGTCTTTGATAGAGTCCTTACGCACCCCTCCTTCTCCCGTGGCACCCCTCTTCTGCTTCCTTACACTACTTGGTCAGTGGATGGAATCTGTTGAGAAGGAAGAAAATTGTAAGATTGTAGAATCCTTGTAGAATCTTTTATTGAAGACATCCTGCACACACTGAGCTAAGTTGAGCCACAAACCTTTGAAGAAACTGCAGACCCCAAAGACCAAGGTTAGAATGGGAGGGACAAATAGCCTTGCAATAAACACAGTACAAAAAATTGAGCAGGGTGGGGGGGTGGAAGGGAAACGGGCGAAATAGGGAAATAGGATGAGGGGACAGGGAGACAAGATGCGCTTTCCTATATCATGACATCTAGATTGTCTTTAAGGATGATTGCCCCATTTTGTACATTCGCCAACATTTTAATGTGGTGGATGGAGTGTCTTCAATAGGAAAAATTCCAAAGATCTCCTAACTTGGGAAATGTTATTTTTCAGCTGAGAGCAATGTTGCAGACTGTTAAAACAGCCTTTATAGTAGCCTTTACAGAATTTTGCAAAATGAAATTTGTTGCTGTTTTGCTCCCAATTGCAGTTTAAGTAGTGTACTTGTCCATGTATGTGAAATTCGTGAACGTGGTCTATCTTGTTTGCAAGACTTTAATGGAGTACACAGAAAAGAGTTACTTGTGCTACACTACCACGGCGTTCAGAACTCCATAAAACGCTAAATTATTTTTCGTGGCTTTCCCTCCCCTCCCTTTTTTTCTTAAGTGTCAATAACCTTTAACATTCTCCAAATCTTGGTTCAATATAATAAATAGATTTATGAACATGCCTGCGGTGCTGTGTTTGCTTTAATTATGTGTACACTATAAATATTCACATTCCTGTGTGCTAAATTGGAACAACACGCTGACTGTTGCACTGACCCTGGAAAGCACGCTGATATCACTGTATACTGTACCTACCCCAGTGATCGTTTATAGAACTAACTAAAGGGGGTATAGACATTTTAACAACTGCAATAAAGCAGTACACTATTTCAAAGCAGCTTATGAATGAATGGAAGGATGTTCACCACTGCGTACAAAAGTTTTTTTTCTTAATTCCGCCAATTAACATTTATTCTTGTTATTTAATTATTCTTTCTTAAGCTTAGGGTCACTGTTTCTTGGACGAAAAGCAGAAATTTCAACCAGCAATCTTTTGAAAATGACCCATTGCGTTCCCCCCCCTCCACCTCACCCTCTCCTCCTCCCTCTCCCTTTGCAACAGACAGGCTATCAATTATGATGAAATGAAAATCTTAAGAAAAATAAATGAATCTGACTTACAATTTAAATCAACAGAACCCAGAGGAGGAGGAGGGGTGGGGCTAGAGAAGGGCCAGCTTTACCCACAGTGAGACGCAGCCGAATGCATTTCAGCTGCAGGCCATCTGTCAGCGTGCCTGGAACATAGCTCATCCAGTGTGTTCTCATTGGCAGTTCTACACTTAAGATTTACGTCGGCTTGTCAGAACCAATTCCACAAATGTTGGGGTTGCTGCATATCCGTGTATAGAGAGTCCAAATCAAATGTTGCTTATTGCTAAGCTGAAGCATGGAATGCGTGCGGGTAGAAACATGATGTGATCTATAACAGAGAGCTTAATAAATCCTCAATTGACGCAAGATATTAAGAATCCCATACCACAATATATATAATATATATATATAATATTAAAGTAGAACTTCTTTGCACTAGTTGATTTGCTTCTGTCTCTTATACCTCGTTCGGGGATGGGCAAAGACATCAATGAAATGAGAATCACCTCAGAACTTGGGAGGTTTGAAGTTGTGTGTGCTGCACAGATCTCCCGAACAGCAATAGGGGTGAAAATTATCATTTGAGAGCACTCTCACCTCAGGGTAGCTGTGGGACTTGCTGTGGACACATTAACTTCCAAATTTACCTTGAAATCCAAAGCAACTACAACTTGCCAACCGTTACCTGTAAACACATTTCGATGTTATCAGTGCTATATCTTACAAGGATTACTATTTTGTTCTGAGCAACGTGGATATTTTAGAAGAAAATTGCAGTGCCTAAAGGTTCATTATACCTCCAAGCTCAACAGTCTTACTCCGTACTTTTTAATTCACTAAATGACTTGCCTGGAAATGTTTTTGCTCTCTTAATTCCAAAGATCTTGGGTGACTCATTTTGCCTGGAATACAGTGGAATACAGTGTCAGCCTGGTTCAGTTGGTAGCATTCTTACATCTGAGGTAGAATGTTTGTGAGTTTAAGCCATGCATCAGGACATTGAGCTTATAGTCTAGGTTGACACTCCAATGCAATGATGGAGGAGCACTGCATTATCATAGGTGCGTCCTTCAGATGAGACTTTAAACTTAGGTCCCGTCTGCCTATTTAGACAGATGTTAAAGATCCCATGACACTATTCAAAAAGAGAAGGGAGTTTCTTCCAATGTCCTTGCCAACAATCCCATGGATAAAAGTTATCATTCACCTCATAGCTGTTTGTGGGGCATTGCTGCATGCAAATTGGCTGCCATGTTTGCCTATAAAAACACTAGTCATCACAAACCTTGGGATGATAGCCCTTCTTCTCCCCCTTTCCGAGCCCAGTGATAACTATTAACACTGCATTTTTGGTTGATATAATTATCACCTGAGATACATGTTGTAATTCCACCCCCCACCCGCCCTCTGTATTGCTAACAAAAATTTTGTTAAACAACATATCTGTGTGGATGTCTCGGGAATTAACATGGGGTTGTGCGGCATTGGAAAATATGATCAGCAGCAATGTAAAGACAGTATCAAAGCACATCCATTGTCCCCTCACTAACCTGCGCTTTCTGTTGGCGAATATGCCACCAGTTATATTGAGTAGCAATATGTGCTGGAGTTTGGTTTGATGGCCTCTCGAGTTTGATTACTGCTTAGTTTGAGGCTTACTTTAGACCTGTGAAGGAAGAAGAGGTCAGGAGGTTAGATTGTAGCTTAATGCCCTGAAGGATCTGTTTCAACAGAAGGAGACCAGACGCTGGTTTAACTCTGTTTTGATACTTACACTAACAGTGGAGCTTACAGTTCCTTGTGACAACAATTGACTTGAGGGTTGAAGTGAGCTCCAAATGTATTAGACCAATCTTTTCTGCCCATTTCCACGAGACAAAATATTGCTGCTTTTTTATTGATAGAAAAATATACATGCACATGTGAAATTTTCAGTCTGAGTTTGGATACTCTTTTTAGCATGGTTTCATCATGTGTTCGAAACCCGGCTGGCAGACCCAAACGAAAAGAGGGAATTAGATAAGCAAATGCAGAGGAAGGGTATAAAAGGATAGAGAGAAAGAGCAGAGACTGTTACATGGTCAGTGAGGGAAACCTGAAGGCAAAGGAGCTCCTAAAAAAAGATAGCAAGAAAGCTACAGAATTGGAATTAGAGTAGATAGCTCATTAAAGGAGCAACAGGTAAACCAATGCAATAGGTTAAGTGGTCTCTTACTGTGTGGAGTACATTTGGACACAGATATGCTCCTCAACCCAGTGACTAAATGTACCGCTGTGCTACACTTCGCTTGTTCGCATTGTATGCAATGGGCACAACTCATCCACCCTCAGCTTAGGGGAAGTGATTCCCCCTTTCTATGAAAGATTAGGTTGTGGTGATGACCTTCCTTCATGCCTTCATTTGCTCGGTTTCTGACCGAACAGAAGTTCTGAAAGGCTGAAAGTGGCCTGTGTCCAATGTTAAATGAGAAAAATGTCACACGTCCAAACTAGTTGCGTGTGTGTTTCACGTGGATATACCTTTGGATAAACTACATTTTTTTAAAAAAAACACAACAAAGGGCCAACCGACCTATTCAGCATTTAGAGGGGCCTCGGTGGAATTGATTAAAAAATGTAATTACGGTTATTAGTTGGAAACCTCGGATTTATGGGAGCATTCTGAAGTTTATTTCAAGGGATTGCTTCGAGCTGCCATGATTAGAACGGAGGTAAATTAACCACAGCCTGTCACTGCAGCCACTAAGTCATTCATTTTTCTTTCATTCCTTCAGGCGCTTCATTTACTGCACTCCTACTTTGAAACAAAACAAAGGACCGATTCAACCCCTGGCCAAGAGCTGCATGACATCATTGGCTGCACCAGGGCTAAAGTATGGTTGGCAACAAGGTAAGGTTGGATTTGAAGCCCAAGTCGGTGCTAAATATTTTAGTTAGAAATGAGAGCGGATATTTAAACCCTTTTGAATTTTTGTTCCAGCAGAAACACATCTTGATTCTAGCCTTAAAATTTAAAGGCTCCAACTCGCATTTTGTAAAACTCCTTTTAAGTCAGTCTAAGTGTTAACAATAATTCTTACAATTGATGTGGCGAGCGCCTTATCATGTCGTCTTGAAAGTGCTTCACAAGATTTACCGTAAAGTCTAGTGGCTTTATATTTTTCAGGCAAATGTGGTAGCCAATATGCACATAAGCAGTGTCCCACAAACAGCCAAGTGAAAGACCAATTTTATTTGGGGAATTTTTGGCCAGGACACCAGGAGAAACTCCCTTCTCTTTTTGAAAAGTCCCATGGGATCTTTTAACGTCCACCTGAACAAGCAGACGGGACTTCGGTTTAACATTTCATCCAAAGTACAGGAAATGTTTGCAGATAGGTACCACCACTTATCTTTCCTTTAATGTCACTTAAAATCATAGAATTTTGCAGGGCAGAAGAGGGCCGTTCAGCCCATTGTACCCATGCCAGCTCTCTGATAGAGCTGTCCGTTGGTGCCACTCTCTGTCCTTTCCCTATAACCTTTTATGTTATTCCTTTTTCAGATATTTGCCTAATTCCTTTTTAAAAGCTGTTATGGATTCTGCTTCCGCCAACATGTTTGGCAAGGCTTCCCATGTCCTGTTTAATCAACATTCTCCTAACCTCACCTTTTGCTTTTTTTGGTAATCATCTTAAGTGTATGCCCTCTAGTTAAATGTATGCCCTCACCCACCCCAGCAACTTTGTGATAGTTCAGGCCTGAAATGGAGAGCGGTCTTCATTCCTGTGTCTTGTAAATATCTCATAGTGAAGCTGCCTTGTTTTTGTTTCTCCGCCACTCTGTGAGGGGTTCTTGTAAACTAGCAAGGTTAAAGTCATTTTATATTCTTTCGCTTTTGAACTTTAGTACTTATAGAAATTTGTGCAGCTGTGTTTAAATACACAAAGCACCAAACAGCTTTAAGGGGCTGAACACGTTGTTCCATTTCTTCTGAATGCCTTTATAGGATAAAAGCATTCTAGACGATAATCTTATTGAGGATGAGTGATGTGTATAAAAAGGAATTGTTAACTGCCAGGAGTGGGACAATTGGAATTGCTTTTGGGGAAAGTTTAAAAAAAAACTAAATTAAGGTCAAATTAGGTTTGTGTCCACCTGTGCCTTTTGTGTTTAGCTCTGAAAGGCACCATATATTTGCAGATGGAATATTTTACTGGATTTCATTCCCTTCTCACAAATACATTAGCGTTGAACGCTCTGTGCCAGGTGCGGGCATCTGGTTTTGACATTCCAACAATGGAGAAGATACAACCATGGTTGACTGAATCAGGATATAGGATTGGGCATCTAAGGTATGAAGAGAGATTTGGGGGGATCTGAATGAAGTTTTCAAATCCTAAAGGGTATGGCGAGTTGGATCCCCAATAACATGTTCAATACAGCCCAGAGCGCCACAACAAGGAGCCTGAAACTCAGAAGGGAGCACAAGGTTACGTCAGATAGGAAGAGATGATATTTGAAAATAAGTCTGACCAGATGGACTTTTCTGATCTTACACAATCCTATATAATTCCTATGGAAGTGACAAAATTATTTCACCATTATGGCTCAACTCACTCCCTTCTATATATGTATGCATCAAATGCAAGAATTATTACTTTTATTACAGGTCCATTTCTACTTCTAGCTGTGATCTATGTTACATTATAATAGTAGGGTGACTAAAATGGAACAATTGGTAAAATGAGTTAGTAGGAACATGATCAGATTTTTAAAAAATGCTGAAAACCGTGGATATTATGGGCACGATTTAACTAAATGTGTAGTTCCAGGGACTGGAGGACCTGAGTATCAATTGTATATGCCTAAAGACAGGCTGGAAACCAAAAATGTCTGCCCCCACCCAAACCCCCGCCACACACACACACAGTAACAGAGATGTGGAATAGTCTGGCTGATTAATGCTGCTTTTACCAGTTAAAGATATCTAGCTAAGATTGATTACAAGAGAAAGTTAAAACTTAACTGATCAAATAGTGGGATCAAGCCACAAGTTAAGACTTTGAGTTCACAGTCTAGGCTAATCAGAGGCACTATCCTTTGGATGAGATGTTGAACTGAATTCCTGACTGCCTGTTTTCAGATGGGAGTTAAAGATCACAAGGCACAATTCAAAAAGTGAAGGGATTTTCTCCCAATATTCTGGCCTGCAGTCATCCCGATGAATTGCTTGATTCACATTATGTGCAAAATGGCTGCAGTGTTTGCCAATTACAACAATCACAGCAACAGCTATCAGCTGTGATCAGTTGAGATATGTTGACGTAATAAGGTGCTATAAAAATGGAAATTATTTATTCTAGTTTCTATAGTGAAGTCTAATTTTTAAAGGCACTCACTAGTTATTGCATGTACAAAAAGATCCCAATGTATTTGCACACCAAGTAGAAAAAATTCTGATAAAACACTTTTTTAAAAAAAGGCAATTTGTCAGCTTAAACCTTTCAAGTGTCTAGAATTGGATGAAAGCCCCTTCTCATTCTTAATGAAAGTAAAACTGATATTTAGTTGAATCTGTGTGCCAGAGAGTGAGTTTAAAGAGTGACTTAGTGCTGTTTTAGCAACTATGCAGGATTCAAGTCTGATTCAGTGCAAGTAATTTGCTGGAAAACTGAAGGAAACATCTGCTTACTGTCATTTGTAGCCTTTGGCTCCTCCATGTATTATTTTTGGAAGTACCAGTTTCACGTTATCGAAGCTCATATTGCCCTGGGATATAATTTATACATGTGTTCTGTGCTGGCGTTTTGTGGCCTATCAGAAAATAAACCCAGTGTGTTTCACTTTTCATGAGGACTCGGCAATGATATATTGACTGATGCTGGTGGATGGGCCGTGCTGTGCCTTATGTTTATAAATCTTTCGCAAGCAATTTACTTGATTCTAAAAATAATTCCCACAGTACAGACTCGTACTGATAAATGAGCAAACATGGTCGCAAATGTATTAGATCAAATGCTCAGTTCAGCTCGGAGCGTTAAAAGGATAAATTATCCAACTAAATATTTTAATTATCCAACTGAATATTTATGTGCCTGGACAGAACAAACCCGAATGTCTGTTGCTGTTGCATGTAATTGAGTTATAAGCAATACAATATCATGAAATGCTTTATCATGGGACCTTACTGTAGCTTTTCTTATTTCCTTTTTCTCCATTCCTGATGCCTTTTAGATATTTAATTATTTGAGTTTATTCATAACTTTAGCTTCATTAATAGCTTTATATATTGAGGCTTCCTGAACCAGATCCTAAGATCTGGAGTTTTTGACTGCAAATACTTCCATCACTGGTGGTGGAATCAAAAGCTACAAAGGGTTTCAGAAAGGAACTAGACAAGATCTTGTCAACTAAAAATGATTCAAGGTAGATACACTGGCAGAATCTTGTGGGCAATTGGACGTGAGGGCTCCATGGTGTACTTCAGCTTGAAACTGTCAGTGAAATGGGGTGAAAAATGTGACTGACGTGTGATTGTGATGATTCTTACATCAAGTAAAATTGAGGTCTAGCCAGTAAATTTTCAACTATCTTTGGGAGTGAAACCCCATTTGATCCCCCCATTCCCCTGCTCCCCAAACATTAGCTCAGTGATTCTGCCAGAAAACAGCGCAAGAGTGTCAATAGCTGCCGTTATTGTTACCGCCCAAGTTTGAGTGCTGATACAAGGGCTTAATACTAATTCTATGACTCCCAGCTTTCGAAACTCTTTTGCCTTCTTTTAATCTTTAAAAATATTTCTGTTTGGTCTTTAAGATAGTTTTAGTCTTCCTCGTGTAGCTGTCATCATGGTCTTATTGTGGAGGATTATTATAATGTCACACCCCTTTCGTGAAGCAGCTCAATGAAATGACTTGTACTTTCACTTCTACTTCCAGTTGTTCCATATTTGACTACTTCACCTCAGGCAGGCAGCCTGTGATTGTTTGTTAACATGTTCTTGCAACCTCCTTTCCTTGTCACAGCAGGTTTGTCGACCTATTCAGTTTTGAGCTGGGGGATGGGTGGAGGCAAGAGTCGATATCTGTCACCATTTGCGACTATATTTGGTTGTGTTTATAATTGTTGAGGGCTACCTGGATTATTTCTGGCATATCCCCATCAGCACCCTTGTTGTCAGTAAAATTGCTGACGCAATGAAATGTCTCACATCACAAAAACCTGCACATTCCTTATCTCAGTGCAAACTTCAAGCGATGGTTAGTGTGAAAGCATTAATTGGAACATAGATTTGACTTGCCGTTCTGATCTCCGCAACATAAGGGTGCTGAATGGACCCTAGAAACAGGGTAGAGGGGAGCAAAGAGGGCAATCCCTAGCATCAGAGGAATGAGCTTTCAGTAACGATTAGACAACCTAGGGCTCTTCCTTCTTGAGAGGAGGTGTCTTAGGGAAGTGTATAAATTTGAAATGGGATTATAAAAGTAAACCTGAAACGATACTTTAAGATGCACCAAAACAGTAGAATAGATATAGGTTTAAAGTCGCAAAGAGCAATTTCAGGACAGGCACAAGGAAGGGCTTTCTTTCTTCATCCAAACCAATCTTGTGATTGATTTGGATGAAGGCATCCAAGAGCTCTAAGACACCGTCAGGAGTGAAGAGCGCTATATAAATGCAAGTTGTTGTTGTGATCTTGTGAGGATTGGCGGGTGAAAATTAATGGTAGTTCCCAACCGTGTTTTATTCAGCGCAGTCGTCATTTGAACTCTGACACATTTATTTTCTCGGTCAACAATCTGTTGTTACCACAGCCCACGGAATGTAGTAGAGACTGTTTATAGATTATGAAGGCTGATCTCAGGCAGTCATCAGAATCAATTTATTCCTGACCTCTAAATGTGAATGAGGGAAAAGCTCCAGGATATCAGCCTCACATTATTCCAGTAGTAGGCATATTATATTTTTCCATCCTGACTCAGTTGCATTCCATAATGGTATTCTCTGGTCCCACGATAGTGCCATAGAGTGATTGATCATCCACATCTATAATTATACTCATAACCTCAATTCCACTGTAACTGGACATTTGTCCAGCTCTTGTTGAAAGGAGCCAGTTGGCATATCATTAGCCAGTGGTGGAGGAGAGAGTCTCTTCCATATATCTATTACTCTGTGGGGGAACATTATTTTGTCTCTGGTCTCACTTCAGGCTTGCTAGATTTATGTTCAAAGTATTATTGGGGTTGACATTATTGTCTAGGAGTCATGGCTCGCTGTATAAACGCAAGTATATTACTTTTAAACCCTGTACTTTACTGAACTTATGCTGTTATCCTGCTCTCTGATTTTCTGGTGAGGTTTTATTGTTGGTGAATATAGGCATGCACCCAAATACCTGTCTGGTTTTGTTACGGAGGCCTGGTTTTATACACCTTCACACACTCCTGCCAGCTCGCTGCTAATAGTAAAACATTGTGTTCCAGCACAGATTATTCCTGTTTATTATTCCTTAACCTCCTTATTCCTTAACAATAAGGTTATTTTTCCTGAATTGGCTTCCCATCACACAGAGGATTCAGTTCAAGATCCTGGTCCTCACCTTCACGGCCCTCTATGGTCTTACTCCCCACTACCTCTACGACCTCCTAATCCCCTACCATCCTGCTCGCTCCCTCCACTAACCAGGCTCTGGCAGTGTGTTTGTGGTTATTTTTAAAAGCAACTTGCAGTCGAAATGCATTGTGATTCTTGACAGGAACATAAAAGCTGGGGAAGGCTTTCAGAGATGTCCTGGCCGCACTCATTAAAGTGCTAAAGATTGAAGTACTAAATTCTCAGCACAAAGAGTTCTTCCAAAAGAGAAATTGCTTTGCTGAGTTTAGTAACATTTTTTTCAAAAAGCTATTGGCGTCTAAAATGTATAGCATCACTGGCTATAAATAGTAATCCTTTTGTTCCTTTCTTTAAAAATGGGATTTTCCCATTTTTTCAAAAGTGATATTCGTGAGTCTCAGTGATTAGGTCCTGATGGACCCCATTTATTTCTCTGGACAAATAAGTCAATGTATCTTATAAAAGTCTATTTGCTCGAAGACTTTGTAATCTGAATTAGCTGTTTTTTCCACCTTCGAAATGCCTTTCTGTCCTCCGCTACTGATATGGAGTGGGGGGTGTAAAATGCGCTATCAGTAAACCGAATGGTACTATGTTTAAGGGGTTGCAGTTGGGTATGTGGCATTTGCCGATAGAGTGCAAAAAATGACACTAGCCAAAGCCGTTTTGCTGTCCAGCAGTTTTCTTTCCATTCTTTCATTAGACTTTTGGGGCTTTTTCTTGGCTGAGGAAAGCCCAAGAAATTTTGACCATGATCACAGCAATCATGGTTTGTTAATGACCCATTGTATTAATAATAAATAATAATCCTTGCATTTTATGTAGCGTCTTATCGCGTCTTCAAGATGTCTCAAAGTGCTTCACAGAATATACTGTAAAGTGAATTAACTGTATATTTTATGGGCGAAATCCAGTTGCCTCTTAACCACCACATCGAGTCCTGGATGAGAGCTAACTTTCTTCAGTTGAACATCAACAAGACCGAGGCTCTCCTGATTGGCTCCCTTCAGCGCCTCCTCACCTCAGGCGCTGACAGCATCACCATCCATGGTTGCTCACTCCACCTCACTGAGCCAGTCCGGAACCTTGGGGTCTTGTTTGACCCTCAACTATCCTTTCTACCCCACATCTGTGCCATGACCCGCTCTGCCTTCCCCCACCTCTGCAACGTCGCCCGGCTCTGACACTGTCTCACATCTCAGGCCGCCGAAACCCTCATACATGCTTCATTACATCGAGGCTCAACTATGCAAACTCACTGCTTGTCGGCCTCCCCAACTCCTCCCTCCACAGGCTGCAGATCATCCAGAACTCTGCAGCCCGTGTCCTCTCCCGCACTAGGCTCTGCGACTCTATTACCCCCATCCTTGCCCAACTCCATTGGCTTCTCATCACACAGAGGATACAGTTCAAGATCCTGGTCCTCACCTTCAAAGCCCTCCAAGGTCTTGCTCCCCCCTACCTCTCCGACCTCCTAACCCCCTACCACCCTGTTCGCTCCCTCCGCTCAGCGGGCTCCGGCCTGCTTCACGTCCCCCGCCTTGCTCGCCCCACCATTGGAAGGCGGGCCTTCCTCTACACTGCACCCACCCTCTGGAACTCCATCCCCAGCTCGGATCTGTAACTCTATCTGTCTACCATCTTGGGACGTCCTCCCAACGTGAAAGGCGCTATACAAATGTAATTTTGTTGTTGTTGTTGTGTACATGGCTTTTCTCATCAGCAATCCACAGTCTAGGCTGGCACTCCAATATAGTGCTGGGTGTGCTGCATTGTCAGAGGTGCCATGCTTTGAATGAGAAGATAAATCGAGATCCTGTCTCCCTGTGGGAAAGCCATTGAAGATCCCATGGCACTATTCAAAAAAAGAGAAGCAAGATTCTCCTTGCATCCTGTCCACCAAGATAAAATTGGTCATTCATTTCATGGCTGTTTGCGGGACGTTGAATTGCGCAAATTAGCTGGCACATTAACTTACAAATAGACAGCCTTTACGGTAAAAACATGTGAAGGACTTTGAGATATCTCAACAATGTGATAAAGTGCTCATGTCAAATGAAAGGATTATTGATGCTATATTATTACTGTGGATTGACTACAAATGCCACTTTTAACTCCTGCTCCCCCTCCCCTTCCCTCCCGCGAAGAAAAGCCTGAAATTATAACCTGTAACAACAGTCACAGTAACTTGCTGACGGGTGCGTTCCATTTGCTTTTTCTTTCGCAGGCAGAACCCTTGTTTGCTAACCAGAGCAACGTTCCTTGACATCATTGGAATCCTTTGCCATCACTTGGGGAAGTTGAAAACAGAAGGTGAGATGTTACCAAAGAGAGTTGTAAGTCATTGTACCGAAGGGCGGCTCATCTATGTTCTGTCCTTCCACAAAATACACAGTCAATCCACTTTATAGTATATCTGGGAAGAGCTTTGAGATGTCTCGACGATGTGATAAGGCACTATATCAAATGCAAGGATTATTATTATTAAGCCAGTTGATTTGAGGAAACCTTTCTGAAACTCGACTCGGTTTCTACCTCCTCTTCTCCCCACCCCACCCCACGACCCCACTCCAAAATAAATTGATATCAATGTACTGGTTAATAGGGAGATTTTTTTTGAGATTGTTGCTTACTTACTAAATGGAGCACTTCATATCAATCTCTTTTTAATCTCTGCTTTGTCAGGCACCTTGGACTCTGCAGTGTGCTTTTCTTCACATTATCACTCAGATGTTTAGTTTAAGAACTGTGAAATGACTGACCTTGCCTCGACAGTTCGGCTTTTATAAACATCAGTCAGGCTCTTGGTCTGATTGATCTCATGTTTTCCAGCTCCGCTGTTGGCTGTAGTGTTTTTACCATAATTCATTAAAAGATTTAACTGTTCAACTCTGCCAACTGGTCAGTGAGGCAGTAACTTGAGGATATAAATTTAGGATTATTACCCAGATAAAAACATTAGGAGAGACTGGGAGAATTTCTTTTACACAGAGGATATGGAATGCCATGATATGTTTTTTGACAGGGTGACCAGGGAAAAACGATTTTCACTGGTAGTGATTAGGAGACATGGATAAAAGATAGTCACAGGATGAGCGAAAGGAGAGTTTAGGATAAACAGAGAGTTGTTGGGCTGTGGAATGTCAAGTAAGGTGTAGAGGCAGAGTCCATTGCGGTTGGTTTCAAAAGGGAAGTAGACAGGTACATGAAGTTAGTGGCTTGAAGGTGTATGGGTATAGGACAGGACAATGGGATTGAAAGTACAGCTTTGAGCTCTGAGAGCTGGTGCAGACTCAATGGGCTGAATAGCCTCCTTCTGTGCTGTAATTTTCTATGACTCTACGAATGCCCTGTCAAAAGCAATGGCTGAAGACAGAATCCACATTGAATATTCCGCCTGCAAAATCCACAGACACATAGTCACTACGCTTTTAAAAAGCAATAGTAATAATAATTTGAAAAGAAAAAAACTATATAAAAGTATGAGGAAAGGGCAAGGCGTGGACTAACCAGAGAGCTCTTTACAGAGCTGACACAGGCACAGTCGGCCAAATCTCAACTCCAGAAGCTCTTATGTTGTGCAATGAGTGATGTGCAGAAGTGAATCAACTGCATTGCCGCATGCAAGTTTCTTTCACTTCTTCCTCCTTTTGGAGCAAGTCAGCAAAGTTTGGTAAGTCGTTGGAGGAGGAACTTTGCATGGCATAGGGTATGAGTTGCTGATGGAAGGCCAGAAATAGAGGCAATTTAAATAAAAGGAAAGCACATTTACAGGACATTTCAAACAGTTGGCTATCATCAGCTGAAAAAATCAACCTCACTTCCTCTTTTGGATTGACCAGCTGTGTACGTCCAGTGATGTTGCCGTGGTGGCCAAATGTATTGGTGTGCCTGGAGCACCAAACAACAACAACAACAAGATTCCATTTATAGAGCGCCTTTCACGTCGGGAGGATGTCCCAGGGCGCTGTACAGTTGGGTTAGGACCCGAGCAGGGGGGAAATGGTCAGGGTGAGGGGAGGGAAGGGAGGGAGCGAGGAAGGGGTAGAGAGTCGAGAGGGGAGCTGAAGGCACGGTCATAGAGAAAGGTCTTGAGACCGCGCACCCAAAATGGCCGCAGGAAGTAGACAGGCCCTGAAATATCCAATTACGGAAACTTGCACGTGGGGTAATTAATCTGGAGGCGGCTCTGGGTGTGAAGATGATGATAAATAATAATAATAATAATAATCATCCTTGCACTTCGTGTACCATTGATTACATGAAAACATCTCAGAGGGCTTTGCTGGCAATTACTGTCTATTGATGGCTATTTTAAGCACAGCAAAGTCCATCAAACAACCATGAAATAAGTTAAATAAATAAACAGGATTGTTGAAAGAAAAAATTAGCAAATGAACCCATAAATTTCTCATTCTCCTCATGCACGGCTGTTCTGAGTGCAGCATAGGCAGAGATGCTGTGAGAGAGACCTGGAAGTGACTTGATAAAGAACATAAAGCTCAGGGAACATGAGAGCCCAATTAGATCTTCCACCAAAGAATGCACTGTGCAATCTGCAGTGCTGTGGTTCTGCCCAACCTACTCTGGGAGATAAAAACTACGGGTTAAACTGTGCGACAATGCTGCTGACTCCAGATTCAATAAACTGACTACTCCATAGGGTCAATCTAACGTTAAGGTCCTAGACTGGCTTCGTTCCCAGATGATGTTTAGATGGACCCATCAGTGGAGGAACCATAGCGTTTGACAAGACTGTTTGATGATCTGTGTCTAGACTTCTCCTTATATTCTCTTTATCTGAAACAGACATTTATGCACAATCTTATTTAAAGGGATTAACTACTTTTGATGGGGATCCATTCCATTTAGATTTGACTGTGAAAAGAATCTACACTCTTTCCCTCTTCTACCCCATCCCCCCTCCGCCAACCTTCACTAATGCTTGCGATTTCTGTACTTAGGTCCTGTCATGTTACGAAACGTTGCCCCGCGTGAAGGGCGCGATATAAATGCAACTTAGAATAATATAATAACCTTTGCATTTGATATAGCGCCTTATCACATTTTCGAGACATCTCAAAGCGCTTCACAGAATATACTGCAAAGTAAATTGACTATATATTTTGTAGCTGAAACGCAGCAGCCAATTGCGCACAGCAGTGTCTTATAAACAGTCATGAATTGAGGTTATTGAGGTTATTGTTGTTATTGTCGTTCTACAATCACAGTTTAAGTTGAATAAACTGCTTCCATCTGCACTGTCTCAGCTTTTCAGGCTGAGCCTCTTCCCCCTCCCCCCCACCTTCTCCATTCCTCATTCAAACATTGGGTTAAAGATTGCAGCATGTCAAATTATCACCGGTGATAATTATGACATTGACCAAAAAGGCAGTCAAAAGGAGTCAGGAGTTATTACTGGCCCCTGGGAGGGGAGGTGGGGGGGGTAGACGAACTACCAATGATAACTGCTAACTAAACCACACTAAATGATAGTTAGCAAATGCCACAGCGTTATGACCCCAGTATTTAAGTACCCGGTCCAAAATTGCTTACGGGGGAATGGGGCAGGGAAGTGGGGGTGGTGGAGATAGTCTCAATCTACTCCACCAAATATCTGAGCTGAGTCAGCAAGTGAAATAATAACTAGATGCACTGGGTAAAGCACAGTTCGCATGGCGGATTGCTGTGCTGATGATACATTTCTAGGGTATATTTTAGACCTCCTTCCCCCCCCCCTCCCCCCTGTATTACAAGCGCTGATGTCAAAGTAAACGAACAGTTGTTAAATTCCTCGTTTTTTTTAATCATTTCTTTCATGGGCAGTCAGCGTTCTTCTGGTTTTAACCACTGTTTGTCTTATCTTAAGTGGTGGTTACTGCAGTTCCTCTGTAAGAGTTCTGGACAGTTCATCATCTTCCGATAACACCAGTTGGTCCAAAGTGACTCCTTGAAGCACTCCTTAAATGACTGAAGAAAGCTTTAGGAAGTGTTTAAAGAACTCATGCAGGAAGTTTCAGATTTTTATCCAGGGGAAATTAAATACTTAGGCATGTCAGTATTGTAACTGATTTGGGTTTGATTAAGCTGAAATGTTTTTTTTCCCCCCAAGGGTTCTAAATGGTGAGTTTAATTGAAGAAAGTCTGTATTACGTTTAAACACTTAAATTCAAATGACAGTTCAGGATGAACTCTAGCAACATTGTTCTGTTTCCCCCTTTCCTCCCTTCAATGTATTACTATGAATTATCTTTGCATTTGATACAGCGCCTTTCACATCAGGAGCACATCTTGAAACTCTTCACAGGATTTACTGTAAAGTGTAGTTAGTGACTGTATATTTTGTTGATGAATCCAACAGTCAATTTGAACACAGCGCTATGTCCCACAAACAGCCATGACGTGAATGATCATTTTTTGTATCTGAGGGATTGTTGGCCAGGACACTGGGAGAAACTTGCTTCTCTTTTCAAATACTGCTTGAGAATGTGATTTCTTGTGAAAGTCCTTTTTCACAGTGAATTGTGGGGACCCATTAACCCTTTCTAAATGCAGACAGAGGGCAATACTATTAAATAATGGCATTCTGTTTAATATCGAGCTATTGCCAGGTTTGAACATGATAGATAAGTGAGCCTTTTGCTCTAATGGGCTTTATGTATCATTGGGAACAGATAAACCCATTGAAACCCACTGGAGGCAAACCCATACACTAGAGCCAAACCCATGCAAAATCATCAAGAAACCTCATGGAATGTTACCACCCCCTGCCCCCGCAGGCTCCTTGTGGTTATCTAGTGAGTACCGAGTGATATCGATAGAAGAAGATCCCAGGTTCAATCTGATCTGGTTTAGTTGTTCTGAGTAGTGGCAGAGCTGGAGGTGTGGGCACTATAATTGGCCTCTGGTGTTAAGAATCAGCCAAAGTTACTACACCCTCGCTCGCTCATTAGCCAGTGACTTTACTACTCGTCCAAAGACAGGATGGTTATCCAGTGCAGTCAAATAGCCTGCCAACTCCAGACAGCGTTCCCTTTCCTGATCACTGACCAGCAACACTCCTGGAGGTGAATGTGAAACAGAACCAGTGTTGAATGTGGAATGGTCGTCGTTGACCCTTCCCGTCAAAGAGCCTGCCAACACTTGCGTCAACGGCTTAAAATAGCAATCTTTTCATTACGACTTTGTTGTTGGAAAACCCATTCTGAAGACATAACAAACTGATGGCTATTTTTAGTGATCAGTGAGTGATAGACCACCCCTCTCCCCCACCCCTCCAACACACACACACTTCCCACTGTCAAGGCTGCCACATGAAGAATGGCCACTTGGGGTGAGCACTTACAGATGGATGGCACCCATAGTCCTGTACCCAGAGTGGAAATAAGATGGGAGTCAGATGCCTTTGAGAGGGGTGGGAGGGAGAGGAGAAGGAGAGTAGAATTGGCAGAGCAAATGAGAGAAAGAGAATAAAGAAACTTCATACGTTGTTTGTTTGGCTAACCAAGAGGAATTTTGTTAGTGCAGCTGTGCTGTAGGAAACAAACTGTACTGATAGACTCGGGTCAATGAAACGTTTTACCCTAATTGCCTGGCTTTTTGATTTATTTTTGCAACAGAGTAGTACAGGCAGCCTTAAATATTTAGTTATTATAATCTTTGAAATCGTGCAGCTGTGGTTCTCCGTCCCTTGTTTGCTGCAGACTATGATTGCACCACACAGTCTGATATATCTGTGTGTAATGTTACTAAACTGAGTGTATATGTGTGTGTGTGTCTCTCTCTCTTTTTTTGGGAGGGGAGGAGAGTAGGGAGACAGGGGGTATTTTGCAACATATTATTCATTTGCCGGTGTTATTTGGCAACCTATCTTTAGCACAGTTTATCTTTTCTGTGCTATCTTGCCACTAAATTTGACTTCTTTTCTTGCCGCAAGCTGAGCAGGTCAAACTAAAATTTCAACAGGTCAAAGGTTCTTTTTCCTGCTCTGATTGCTACGCTTGAAATCTTAGTGCTTTATAAATGGAGCATTGCGCACAGTACCCTTCCTTGTCTGTGCCTTTGGGACCCAAGGCCCGAAAAGTCTCGCGGTCATAAGACCACTGCTTTATAAATGTAAGATTGTACAAACTTTTGGATCTTTTATAAAATTCAGTGGAAACCAGTTTTCTGCAGTTTTCAAGAGACTGGCTTGCAAATTAAGACTGAATTTAAGAATTTTCCCAAACTATTAAGGATCTGAAATCTTAAGATAATGGCCTTAAGGCTAACACGATGAGAAATGCTGGGCCTTTGATGTTTGTGCAAACGTGCTATTTAAGTTGAAGTCACTGGAGTGGGAACTCTGGTTAATATTTATCCGTTTCTCGCCAGGAACATTGAGGCTAGTCCCAGGGTCCCCAGTGCAGAGAGCATGTGACTTGTCCAGACCCAGGTACCTTTCCTGTAGGTATCATTTAGTACAACATCACATGGTGCATTTTGTGGCCGTTTCGCCCACAAAATACATTAGAATACATTAGAATATACAGCACAGAAACAGGCCATTCTGCCCATCTGGTTAATGCCAGTGTTTATGCTCCACATGAGCCTCCTCCTGACCTTCCTCAACTAAGCCTTCAAGCATAACCTTCAAATATACAGTCAAAATTATACAGTCAATTCACTTTACAGTATATTCTGAAGCGCTTTGAGACGTCTCGAAGACATGATAAGACTCTATATCAAATTCAAGGATTATTAATATTATTATTCATTGTGTGAGCCATTTGTTCACTCAGTGTTAGCCTACAAGCAACACTCATTGGATAAAGAATTACTAATAGTAGTTAGAGTCTACTCCAAAAACGCCATTCTCATCAGTTTCTATAGTTGTAATACCTGTTACTTGTGTCTGCCATTTTGCCTCCACGAAGAGGCTCAAAGACCAGTGCAATGAGAAATAATAATCATTGCATCATTTGATATAGCTCCTTATCACGTTTTAGAGACGTCGTCTAAGGAGCTTCACAGAATATAATGTAAAGTGAATTGATGTGCCTAAAATGGCCGCTGTAGCATTGGGTAACAAAATGCTGATGGTACAAAGTACCTTTCAGCTCAGAGGGATGAAGGTTTTTTAAAAAGCAAAGCGAACATGGAAATCTGCTGTATTGACGTTAATAGTGGCGTATCTACCTGGCTCAGCACTACAACAGACTTGGAGTGCTCGGAGAACAATAGGAAGATCGCACGGGTTAAACCAAATTAGAACAGGAAATGTGAAACCCAGATACACAGGAGATGGGCAGAGATGGAAAATGTTATGGATTTGTCTGTCATCTTTGACCAATCACCCCTTCAAGTGAGGCAGTTATCAACACATCTAGTCAAAACATTGGAATGCATCTCAGGGCCATTTTGTATATAAATGGAAACTGGTTATTTTTACCGTATGTAAACTCAGAGGAGAGGGTTCATTTGTGATATTGTGTGTGGCTGAGAGCAATCTACATTCAACAGGAGAGTGATGTTTTGAGGGAGGGAGAATTCAGAGCAAAAACAGCCCAGATGAGTCTGGAACCTCACGAGTGTCTCTCGGGGCTGAATTTGTTATCACTAGAGAAAAGATTGTTGAAGGAAAAGATGGTGAGACATGTCCATGATGTGAATGCAAGCAGGTTACATAGAATCTCATGCAAAGAAGGTAGCCATTTGGCACACCTTGTTTGTGCCACTGCTGTCCTTTTTCTAATTACTTATTTTTATCAATCCCACTTTTCCAGCTTATTCCCCATACCCGTGAATGTTTTTTTCCTACTGCTCAAGTGCTTATCCAGTTTCAGTAATTGTATTAATCCACCTCAAGAGATAATTGAGTTTGGAAAATGCTCGTGGAAGCGCAGGCCACGGGTATCAAAGTTAGTGTGCTTTAAAGCCAGATAAATGTCATGTGAAGAAGGTGAATGAATTACATAGAAGGGTGCAGTTTGAAATTAGGCCGTTCGGCTCAACTAGTCCATGCTGGTGTTTATATTCCACATGTGCTTCCACTCTGTGTGGAGTAAGGAAACTTGCCCAAGGTTTCGCCCTCTGCCTGGAATTGAACTCGGTTCTCTCGCTTTCAAAGCGAGTGCTCTAACCACTGAGCTACAGGACTCCACAAATATAATTTTAAACATTTCTCAGGTCCCCTTAAAATCATCTAATCTCCAGAAATTGAGATGGATGTGGGTTTACCACGGACCAGAGCTAACCAGCTTCCCGTGCTTAGAAAATCAGGTCACCGCTGATCTCACTTGCTGCACATTGCATACATGCGCAGGATAAATCACTGAGATCTACACTGATTGGGACTGGCCTGTTGTGGATATGGAATCAGCCTGTCACCCAAAATGCAATTTGCCTGCGGTGCTGGCCAAAATCTTCTCCATCAGCAGCTGCACTGTCATGACAGTACTTCACTGTGCCAGACCCGCGCACTCTCTTTCTTTGAAACTTATTGACTCAAAGGCATGAGTCCTACCAACTGAGCCAATCTGACATGGTTGCAAAACAAAGCCACTTGTGTACTTCTTAGAGCTCAGACCATTGTACCCAACGGTCAAGCTCTAGATCAGAAGAATGTGGGTTCAAGCCCCATATCGGAGTCTAAGACCATAGCCGGGTTGGCATTCCAGTGCAGTACTGGAGGAGCATTCCATTGTCCTTCAAATGAGACGTTAAGACAAGGTCCAATATGCCTATGCTCAGATGTTAAAGATCCCACGATACAACTCAAAAAGTGTCATGGGCAATGTTCCTCCAGGTAAAATTGGTCATTTGCCTCATGGTTGTTTGTGGGTCTTTGATTTGTGATTGAGAGCAATTTGCTTTGAAAATGTGATTGAGCCAGGACTCAATCAGGATTCATTTAAGAAACAACTTGATGCTGTAATGGGAGGATGATGGGATAGGTATTCAGGAAGGATGGGATAAAATGGGCTAAAGGGCCTTCTTCATCTAAACCTCTCTTGTGATCAAAATGTTTTGGGAACGTGGAATGCATCATCCCAGAAGGCCCATAGATATAGAATCGATGTAAGGATATTAAGCGATATATAGAAAAGTGAGGGAAATTGGAATAAAATATCTAACGTGCTCCAATAAAATGATGGGGTAGACTGAATGACCTTCTCCTGTTCCTAATGAAAGGTAATTCTTTCTTTTAGACCCAGAAACCTTATACCTCTGGCAGGACAGTTGTCACATTGTACTGGAGTCGGAACTGGTGAAAGCTGGGCAGCAGTTTTCTCCGGTACCTGGACTGATCCAGTGGCAAAGAAGCATCACCAGACTATCGCTGCTGGTGACATCTTCTCGTCCCCAGAGGGTGACTCCGCAGGACGGCAGCTGCCAACCGGCCCGTGGGATTCTTCAACCCGGTCAGCTCCTCTGCCATCTCTTGCAGTCAGAATTCCACGAAGTGCGTTTGGTGACCCTGGAGACGCTGATGTTGTGGCTGGAGGAGTGGGATGAGAATGTACTGTTCCTGTTATCAGAAGCGGAGGACACACTGAAAAAACTAGCAATGCAAGAAACACGCTCAGAATGTCTTGCCAAGGTGAGGGATTATCTGATAATCGCAGGAAACCGCATCAGTGAGAACTGCTCCATGGCGTACATTGGATTTCTCATGTATAACGTCTTCCAAACTCACGTAAAACTCTGCATTATAACATAAGACACAAGGCCGTCGTCTTAACTTTATAAAAATTAAAACTGAAAAAGAAGCTTGTTTTGCAAGAAGTACTCACACACTGATTGCTTTAATGTATTACTAGACCGATAAAGTTGAAAGCTCTGCCTAAACCCATTCGAATGGCTGACATTGACTTTCTCCTTGAAACGTGAAGCCAGTCTACGTGTGCAGGCAATTTCATGATAACTAACAGCTCTGTCAAAATACCCTAGGTGCTGAAAGCGTTGTCCTATCTAGATGTGGAGAGGCTGGTTCCGTGGACAGTGAATAATTCAGTGATGAATGAGAATGAACTTCTCAAGTGGGTTTTGTCAATAGCAAATGCCACAAAATGCAGGTACTCCTCCTTCAATACTTGCAGAGTTAAAATTTATAGAGGTAAGGGGTCTCAATGAGAAACTGAAAGGGAATCAGGAAGGGAAGTAACATTCCGATGACAGCTGAAATTCCAGTCACGTTTGTGAAACCTGAACAGTCTGCAATCATTTATGAAAGTGGTGTTGCTTTTTTAAATATCCACATGAGAATTTGTGCCGTTTCTCTAATCGCTGCGGCCACATTTCATGTTGTTGTTGTGTTACAGTGTTCAAGGACTAATTCAGAAATGTTGAGTGGTGTACAACTTTGAGTGGGGGGTGGGGAGGGAAGGGATGGTGGTGGGTGGGCAAGGGAAAAATGTTATTCTGTATCGGCTGTCTTCTTCATTTAGGCTAACAGATACTGTAGTAAATTTCAGGCCTTGAATTTTATCGCACACAAATTTCATTACTAGAAAAATATGTTTTAGCAGCTGGGGCCAGAGTCTTGATAATCTGCCTGTTCCACAAGGCGTAACCTCATGAGTGCTTGCTACATTAGATATGTATGAATGCTATCTTTGCTAATTGTGTTCTTTGTGTTTTTTCTTTCGACCCGTTTTTAAAATTGATTTCCTCTCCCACGCATCATTCAATGGCCAAGAGAACAGGGAGCAAGCATCCTGTTTCTAGGGAGAATGATCCTCTTGAGCTGAATTGTTAGGAAGCCCATGAGGCTGTGAATCTACTTGGATTTTCTTTCTCTCGTCCCACCACCCTCCTCCCACCCCAAGCCTCCCCGCCGATGAACGCAGGAAACTAGGAGTAGGAGAAGGCCATTCAGCCTATTGAGCCTACTCTAATACAAATTAATCCATGCTACAACTCCCACTAATGCAGACTTCATCACTATTTTTTACTCCCCAAGTATCAATTCCATCTATCTCTCTTTGAATTCCCTCAACTGATTTCCCACCTAGAATCTATGCGGTGCCTGAACTTTGCTGCTCTCTGTCCACCTTCCTTTACCTGTCTCCCCACCCCATTCCCACTAAAAAAAATTTCAAATGCTTCTGATTTCCATCGGTGTTGCCCTATCTTCCTGTTTGATCTGTGTTCTGATCCCTTGACTGTAAATACTAATACAATCAAAAATTATTGGAAGTCAACTTAAAAATGCTAATGATGCACCATGCTGTTTCTTACATATCAGAATGAAACACTTAGTGTGGAAAGCTTGACCTATTGCACATCTGTGTAGACCTGTGAATTCTCATGGGGTACGTTTTTATATAAGTTCCATATTTTTTTGAGACTGCGCTTTACACACTTAATTTCATTGGGAAGTCTTCATGGGACCCCCGCTTGGAAAAGTTTCCCCTTTCCCCCCTCCCACCCCCCACACACAGACTGCAGGAACCAGGAAAATGAAAGCAATGTGTTCAAAGTGATTTGTTTATTACCCTGCGTTCTCAGGTCACTAAACTGATGGATTCAGTGGTATAGTTTTAACCCAAAACTTTTGATTCTTTTTGGTTCTCATAAATTACATGTCTTAATCTGAAAAGACTTTGAAGAGAGGAATTATTCATTTTAATGACCATGCAGGTTGGGATTCAGAATAATCCCATCCCCCCCAAAAAGTTTTTTTTAGCAACTACATTTTGCAATGTCTGGAGGGAGATTGCCCTCAAATGCGTATTTTCTCTTATAAGTCTATTAAAAAAAAAGTTTTTTGCTTTTAACTGAGGGCCACTTTATTTCCAAACCAAATATCCTTGATGCATTTCAAGTGAGCAGAAAGTGTATTGACATTGACCTATGCGACCAAGTGAGCGATGAGTTTTGCTGGTGCATTTAATATGTTGAAATGAAACTCATTGTAATGTCCCTCCCAGCCTTGGCACATGCCAACCTGCGCCTAATACTCTCCCAGGTTAGGTAAGCAGGGTGCAATCCTCCAGGAAGAGAATGCACATCCTAATCTAAACATGGGAATTTCCTCGTGTAGGTGGCATACACACCCTTACTGGTCAGCAATGAAACATTAGAGACTTTACAAAAAAAAGTGCGTGTTCACCCACTGACCTTCAGAAGAGCCCAAGGCAGAAAGAACAGCAGGTTATCAGGGAGATGGAATACCTTTTGATCCATTACAGTAATAAGCGAAAGTGGAGAATTAACTTTCTCTTCAAAATTAGGTGTCATGACTCCAGGGTTCAAACTCAAATTCTCCAGCTGTTTTACAAGCCATAACTTGATGCTAACGTGCCTGGTCCCAAGCATAGTCATTGATGGAGAGTCCAGGTCATTATATCAGCATCGTGCCCCAGTTTAAATGTTTTCATTTGCCTTGAGTCTGAGAAACCCAAAGAAGGAACCATGCAATCTACAGCACAAAAGGAGTCCATTTGCACATTGTATCTGCAGTGGCTCTCTGAAAGAGCTGCCCATTCAGTCGCACCTCCCTGCCCTTTCCCCCATACCTATTAATATTTATCTTTATCTAATAAATAGTTATCCAATTAACTTTTGAAGGCCATTATGGATACTGCTTCAATCGTTTCCTTTTGGTAAGGCCTGATGTACCTCCGTGTAAGTACATTCCTTCTAAATTCTTCCTAATTTTTTTTAGATGGTCTTTGGGGGTCAGTAAAAAATTATATCGTCTGAAACTGTGGACCTGGCTGGAAACTGGAAATAAAAACTGAATGTGCTGGAAATCCACAGCACTTGAAAGAAAATAACATAAATTGACATTTATATAACGCCTTTTAAGTTAGGGAACCCATCTCAAAACACTTCACACAAGTGTCTGGGAGCCTGAGCTGGGGATGGGAGGGAAAGATCACCAAAAGAGCAGTCAAAAAGAAAGTCTTAAAATCTAAGAAAGTAGGTTATTGTTTTCTTTTTCAGCTGCAGATTGACTTATTTTTTATTTCCAGCATTCCTGTTTTAATGTTTTCTTTTCACGGATGTTGGAAGCTTACTTGAAGGACTTCTCAGGACTTCTCTAGCGCTAGAAGAGACGTCTCAACGACGTGATAAGGCGCCATATCAAATGCAAGGATTATTATTATATATTACGTATTCCTCTGTAAGGCACTTGCACATTAATTGTCTTTATTCTTTTAGCACTGACTTGCAAAGCGTGACACTCACATTGGCCTCAAAGCTGGTTCAACACCTTGCATTACAGAAGCAGCAGGTAATGTGATTTATCAGTAAGTGTTGAGAAGTGTACCAATTTTTAGAAGGGTTTGTGAAGAGTTCTCAAATATAGCTCTGTTATTAATAGAAATCATTGGACTCCGAAAGTCACGACTTCAGACAGTGGGTTCATTTAGTTGCACAGAGTTGTGGAGCGGAGCAGCAGACAGATATCCGATTGACAGCTGCAAACGTGCTTATTGATGCTGTCCCATTGCTGCTTGCCAGTAAACAACTTTATTTAGGTGAGTAAATACTTCTGGCTACATAGGAGAAGTAAGCAGGAAATGAATCCCCTTGCACTGTGAATAAATTCTTGAATTCAAATGCATTTGCATGTAATTTGTTTGTGCTATTTTACCCCTACAGGTATTTGTAAATACTGCAGAGCACAGCACTCTCAGTTCATGTTTATACTGCAGCTGCATTTAATGCAGGCCATTCTTCATTCTCACGGAGTTGCCATGATTTTAACTTTCATTCTATTGTTCACAAAAGTCCCGAACCTAGTCACTAGTGACAAGTTGGACTCATTGTATCAAACACTTTAGCACTAAAGTGCTTTATTGGAGGTATGTGAGTTCTTCTCGGAGCTAAAATAAGCTGAGCTGGCTCCAAGGTGATATATAATATAATAATAATCCTTGCATTTGATCTAGCATTTTATCACGTCTTCGAGAAGTTTCAAAGTGCTTCATAGAATATACTGTAAAGTGAATTGACTGTATATTTTGTGGGCAAAATGTGGAAGCTAGTTGCGCACAGCAATGTCCCACAAACAGTCGTGGATTGAATGACCAAAGTTTTTTAAAGAGATTATTACCCCTAGAAAAGTAATCCGCCAGTCGACTAACAACTGGGTTCCTACTTACTGCTGGGTAAACAGAGGTGTATGGAATAAGGATATGCTTGGCAACGGAATGTCGGAATTAAGTCAGCCCTCTGAGGCAATCTTGATCATCCGCTTGCTGAGCCAAAACGATACACCAAGACACTGGTCATAGCAGTACAACCAAACTGGATCATCGAAAGGATTTGAAGGGGCATACCAATCACTGGGAGCAGGGATTCTTCCCACTTCGCTCCTGCTATGGCTGAAAGCCAATACCCTAACTGAGCTAGGGTGGTCCTAGCTAGACAAGCAACAGGAATCTCGTCAGACAGTACTCTCAATAGCTTTAGCTGGCTAAACTTCAGCGGTAACCCAAAGCTCATCCTCAGATCCCCAAGTGTTAGCTCTTGCCAGTTTACGCCAAATACTCTTCGAGATTTAGGGAAGTAGGATGCATCGCTTCAGGGAGAGAGTGTACATTCCATTCCAGAGATAAGGAAATTTGCATGCACAGGTGACATATATATGTAGAATTATCAATCTAGTCTAAATATTCTTAAATAATGGTGATAGCTTTCCATGCTTGTCAGCATGGCTGACCCATAAAAAAAATGCTTTCAACTGATCTGCCTTTGTGGACTCGAAGATTATTTTTGAGGTTTGCGTAGAAATAAAATGAAAGAAAACCAGAATTTAAATGAAAATCCACCGCTCGCCAGCCAGAAAATTATTTTATAATCTACAGATTCACTTTTTTAAGAAAAAATTGAAGGGAAGCTACAAAGCACATTACGACATCTATAAAGTTTGCTATCTTTTTCACATCCAGTACAATACTGTCACACATATTCCAACCTTTCCATTCGCTCTAGGTTGGTGGAATTTTAGTTGATAAAAAGGCAGCTCTAAAAGCTTCTCTCGACCAGTGTGGACCTCATTTCTAATTTTCTAAGTGCAGAAGGAAATTGACAGATTACGTAGTCCATTCTTGGATTGTGAAGAGTCTGTTCCAGCGGAGCCATCCACAGGTGCTTGTCATTCAAGACTGTTTTAAGAGCAGTTACATAAAAGAGCAATTAAGTTGGGTTTCTCTAACGGCAGTGTTAGAATAAAGGCAAATTTACTTATTTTACACATCTGCTGGAAAGCAGCTGTGATACTTAAACCCCACCCAGACTCTCCACAGCAGGAAATATGCTCAAACAATACAAACTACTTAAATACAATCTTAATCGTGAACCACAACAATAAGTATTGCAATCCATTTTGGAGGTGGGAAGAACAATTTTTTTAGCAAACTTTTTTTATCACTGGCTGAAAATCGACTTGAAAGGCTGGTTTCGGAGCCAGTGAAAAAATCATGATGCAGATTTGACCAATGCAATTCTTAAAGTAGAAACCAAGTGAATGCAGTCCCTGAAGTATACACATCTGCAAAACTAACACCCAGTCAGTGGTGCCTAAAGGGTTAAACTGTCGTGTTTGGGAACCAGAGCAAAACGATTATTGTAATGCGCAATGTGGCGACAGAGAGGATAGAAAATGCTGTTATTTAAATTGAATTGCATTCCTTGCATCCCATAAAGCTCCCGCAAATGAACCGAAAGTACAAGGTCAGAGTTAACCTAGAAAACCCACTGAAATCCCAGTTCAACATCATAAACTAATTAAATGAACCCATTGTTTTAAAGAGTGGTTGAGCGTGTGGCTGAGAGTGGTTTTAAGTTTAAGCATCTCGAGTTGTCACAGCGCTTTGGGACATCCTCTTGACGTGAAAGGCACTATACAGATGTAATTTGTTGTTGTTGTATAACCATCTTATTATTTTAACATTACTTTCTGTGTTAGCCACTAACCCTGATTTTGCAATCCAGGTCTGCTGGACACATTAAGCTTGTGGAAATGCGTGTTCACCCTTCTACAAGATGAAGAGCAAGTGGTGAGGGACACAGCTGCAGACGTCATACGCATGATCCCACCTTTTATCAAGGCTTGTTGGGACGATGGTCAGTAGTCTTTATGTTTGTCCCTTTGTGAGAAAGTGTGGAGTCCTTTCATTGCTTGTTTGAAAGTATATACCTGGGTTGACATAGTTCATGTTGAGCACATGAGAGGAGTGACAACTCAAGAGTAAGACATGCACTCAGAAGAATAGCTTTCAAAGTGAGTACTGGTGCATTTTTGATTGTGCTTACCTTCAGGGCTCCACAGCTGTGCCTTTTATGAAGAGGACACGTGTAATTGTTATGGGATTTGTACCACTGGCACATTTAGACCTTTCCTAGATATTGAGGGAAAGGCTGTGGCCAGGAAGCAAACATTATTATTCGTATCTTGTAAACAATTGCACAATGACCAAATCACTAATCATTGGCCTCCTCCGTGCTTTATAACAGGACAGTGAAAATATTACGTTCAAGACTTCATAATTTCTGCATATCTCTTACCTGTGATCACTTTTCTTTTTGAAAGTGTGACCTTTTTGAAACATTTTCAAAACAGCAAACACTATTATTTGTTATCACTTGTTCTGTGAAATCTGCCCCCAGGTGAAATGGGGATAAGTACCACAGTGTCAGAGATTGCAACCTCATAGAGACATTGACTAATGTGGAGTCCTGTAGTTCAGTGGTTAGAGCACTCGCCTTGCAAGCGAGACACCTGGGTTCAATTCTAGGCAGAGCGAAACCTTGGACAAGTTTCCTTACTCCACACGCCTAATAATAATCCCTCCAAAACAGAACAATAATAAATTGGTCATTTTCAATCCACGACTGTTTGTGGGACACTGCTGTGGGCAATTGGCTGCCACGTTTTGCCCACAAGTATACGGTCAATTCACTTTACCGTCTATTCTGTGAAGCGCTTTGAGATGTCGAGAAGACGTGAAAAGTGCTATATCAAATGCAAGGATTATTATTATTATTATTTTCTTCAGCTTTCAATGTGAGGGGCAGTAATCACTACATATAGTCTGATTTGACAGCATTCTTCAATTGCATTGCAAAACGATTGGAACAATATGTTGAACTGACATTGGCAAAGACCAGGTTGCCTACTTGCCAGGTCATATGAATTGTTACACACTGACATTGCTGGAAGGCAAACACTCCCTTCTCATCACGTGAGGGAGTTAAGTGAGGCAATATTTGTGGGAATTGATAATAGCAAGCGGATGAAATTATTCTCTTGCCTAATGTCAGCTGGGATTCATATTTAATAAAAGAGAAGTACTTAATTATCCTGTTCTGACTAGAAACGGGAATATTTCTTTTACATCTCTGCTATCTTTCGACAATCCATACCCACTAACATATTTCACAGGGCATCACAGTTGGACACTGACTGAGATCATTGGCACTGACTGAGATCAGTCATGGGCAACAAGAGATCTGAATCTGTTGATGTAGAATAATCCTATAATAATCCTTGCATTTAATATAGCGCCTTATCAAGTCTTCCAGATGTATCAAAGCTCTTCACAGAATATACAGTAAAGTGAATTGACTATATTTTGTGGGCAAAACACGGTAGCCAATTGCACACAGCAGTGTCCCACAAACAGACGTGGATTGAATGGCCAATTTAATGTTGTTATTTTTTGGAAGCAATTATTACCCCCAGTAAAGCGATCCATCAATCGACTAACAACCGGGTTCCTACTTACTGCTAGGTAAACAGAGGCATGTGGAGTAAGGAAATGTGCCCAACATTTCGCGCTGCCAGGAATCGAACCCCGGTCTCTCGCTCGCGAAGCGAGTGGTCTGACCACGAAGCTACAAGCTACAATGTGTGCCGATTGTATTGATGTGCCAATCAATGCTGACTTACAAGTTTGAAGAAACGCAATATCGTTAAGGCATTTTTTCGCATTATTAATGAAAATGTTACTGTATTCCCTCACAGTCCCCCCATTATTTGCTTTGCTTCTTCAACAAATCTTAAAATGCCTTATTAGATTTTTTTACCCCAAAAATCATTCACTAATGAATTCTAACTTGTTGCAACTCCAAACCATTGCCCCCTCTAACCTCCTGCATTATCCAAAACACACATTTCAGTTCAATCAACAATCAGAGAGAGCCTCTGCTTCATTTGCTCAGTTATCAGTTGGGAAATTGTAGAAAAATAATTTCCATGAAACAGCACCAGATCTCGGAGAAACTGTGACATCGTGTTTGTTGTATTCCATATTATTGCTTTGGAAGCATAATGCCAGCTTCAAGGCTGTTTTTCTTGTGCTGCAGAATTGTGACTTGATTATCAATTATTAGTTTTGACCCAATGTCCATGCGTTTTACTTACCACAAAGTTTGGCTTATCACGGTGACAACAAATATGAAAGTTGGAAAAGGCCGAAAGGCTGCGAGGAGCTAGAAAGCAACCTTACAGACAACATTTGGGGGGAGAACTGCATGACACCACTTCATTTACTGTGATTTTGCATGTATATATATATATATGTATATATATATTGTATATTGTAGCTTATATTGTAGCTTAGTGGTTAGAGCGCTCGTCTTGCAAACGAGGAGACCTGGGTTTGATTTCCAGGCAGGTTGGAACGCTTAATGTCTCATTCAAAAGACCCGTCTCCAACAATGCAGCACAACAACAACTTGCATTTATCTAGTTTCCATCATGCTGTATTTGGTCTTGGAGCACAGTCTCAAACACTGCATTGGAACATCAGCCTAGCTCATATAAGTTCAAAGTCCCGACATGAGACTTGAACCCACAACCTTCTGGCTCAGGCGAGAGAGGCAGGTTGCCTTCGTTTTTATAACACCATGCCATTCAACCCTTAATCCCCACCCCTACCACAGCAGCCTGTTATCCAAAATAACAGTTACCAGACGCCAACAACAGGATGCACAAAATGTCAAGGAACCAGCAATGGTTCGAAAGGGACGATACGCATGAGCTAGATGTGAGTCATTATTGATTCACAAGTGGCTTAAAGGCAGCAATGGGAGATGAGCGATTTTACTCAGTGGTAACCTAGGAGTAAATAAATTCACACCATTTAAGACGGGTACATTATAATTTGGAGCAGCTGCAATTTGGTACAAAAACAAACTGGCAGCTGCTGAGTAAACCGTGTATTAGACACGCTGGACCTGAACTGAACTAATGATGACCAGGGGCTCCAAATATCTTATTCCAGTCGCTGAGCACTGTGTATAAGCGTTTAAATATTTGCTAAGTCGAGTTACTAGTCCTCATATTCACCATGCATTAATCAAACAGTACATCAGCTCCAATGACCGAGGGATAACAAGCTGCTCTTATATAGATCATTGCTAATGGTTTCTAAATCGCTCATTTTTCTTCCCCGTCCTTTGAACCTTCATAGAATATTACAGCACAGAAGGAGGCCAACTATTCCCACTCCTCTGCTCTTACCCCATTCATTCATTCCTTCATTTTGCAGTTTTCAATGGTACAGTAATGATAATTCCAGTTTGTGTGTTATTTCATACATTCGTAGGTTCTCTCAGCACAGAAAGAGGCCAGTCGGCCCATTGTGCTTGTGCTGACTCTGTAAGTGCTGCCACCTGTTTCATCCCATTTCCCTGCCTGCTCCTCATATCCTTTTATATGTTTCCTTTTCAAATATTTATCTGATAGCTTTTTAAACTACTATAGATTTTGCTTCAATCACATTTTTTTGTTATAGAGTAACTTGACCTAATAACCCTCTGTGTAACAATAATCTTGTAATTTCCCTGAGTGGGTCAAAACAATCTTAAATTGATTCCCTAAAGTTACCAGTTCACCAGCCACTGAAAGTGTGTTGTCATGTTTGCAGTGTTCTTCACTGCTTCCTGTGAGAATACAATTTTTTTTGTCCAGGAGTAAATACCTCACATCACTTATTGTAGGATTAGGTCCACCTAGCTTTGGTTCTGTTGTGGATTTCATGGGAATAGTTCCCCTTTAGGAAATTCCTGTGCCCTCATGTCACATGTGTCACCCTTCAAGTTGGGCTTGTAGCTAAGCTAACTCTCCCCATAATATAGCTTTCTTCTGATCATCGATCAGATCAGACCAGGTTAAATACAAAACAATAGATGTTTTTGGTTCCCCTCCCACTCCTTCTATTGTCTGCAAAGATACTTTCTACAGCCTAGCTGCCACTGACTCATGTAACCACACATAACGAAACAATGGGCAAGCAAAATACATGAACCAGATTTACAATAATAATAATCCTTGCATTTGATATAGAACCTTACACGCCGAGAGGAAATCGCAAAGTGCCTTGCTGGATTTATTGTAAAGCGGCGTGACTGTGTACTGTGTAGGCGAACGCTATTTGGTTTTTAAAACCAAGTTAATTGCCCCCCGTAGCTCAGCTTTCGTTTTCCTGTGGTGAATCATGACCCTCCCGCTCCAGCATTGAGTTTCTTAAATGAGTCCAGTGCCCTGCCCTCCAGCACCCTTCCTGGCTACCTATCCCATCTGTCAAGTCAGGCTGTCTATTGAACGGAGCATGACTAATGTGAGCCGAGCACGACTAATGTGAAGTGGAACGCAATGCGCAGAAATGAATACAATTAAAAAAAACTTCGGAAACGACGCCCATAAAAAGGGTCGATTGAAAGAACCGAAACAAAGGCTATGTGTTTCGAAGTTTAAATCACGTGTACACATCCATATGTATTTTTCTTCACTTGATGTTCTGAATTCTGCTTTGAGCAAGTGTTGTTACAGCACATTCTGTGAGGCAACGTTTCTCTCAGCTTTGCCCTTTGTGTTTTACAAGACAATCGAATTACCTGATGGTGCTCTCACTCCTGCCCCACTATTGGTAATGGTCATTTTTTTTGAGTGATTGGTAAATTAAAAAAAAATTTTTTTTGTAGCATTTCAAACAAGAACATTAAACTCCTATTTTATAGCAGCACTGCTAAAACTTTCATAATATAGTTCAGTTTTATTGTTCTGGCAAAAGTAGATTTTCCGCTGGCACCGTAGGTATTAAATTGGTCCCCATGATGGT